AGTAAACAGTTAATTGATTGCAGGTCCAAGTCCAGGTTGGGCTTGCAGCGGAATACAGTAGAAGAGGTGAGGCTTCCACACTCTGGTTTGAATCAGAGGGTCTAAAGGCCCTAGAACTGCGGTCACTGCGATCCATTAAGGAGGTAATTGGCATAGTTGCTTTTCAATAAGTTACTTTCAGTTCAGATGGAATGGAAAGGCAGGAGAGCAAGGATAGAAGCTGACAATTGCCCCCAATTCTCGGAAGGAAATGGAGTTTCAAGGCACTGCCTGTAGCCATTTGTCTGTTTCTAATTATGTTGTACTTAACCCCGTTCCCTCTCTGCAGTGTCTACAGACACTAGTCCACCCATGGATAATTCTGGTTAATTCCACGTCACTCATCTCATTACCCTCTATGTACTAAAATACATTTGGCTATTTATCCATTTATTATTTTTTATGAACAATAGTATATCATTTTATTCGTTTCTGCTTCTACAGGACAATGTAACCTTCCACCTCTTTCCCCATTTGTTTGTGGCAGAACAGAAAACTGCAGGTGCCCTTGACAGGTGCGTGGAAAATTTCCTTTTTGTCTTCAGATCCTCTAATTTAACACATGAACATCATTGCTTTGTAGTGCTTACTAATGTAATGTGCCCTCTGCTCCTGTTTTAATGTCACAGTTTGTGTAACTGTATTTAAAGTCAGTGGTACTGATGTGTTCTTTTTCACAAAGTTGCTTTTGCTTGTGTGTTTTAACCATTTAGCCAGAAACAGCCTGTGAGCAGTGGTACTTCCCCTTCCTCCATTTTGTCTGCTTGGTCCTGTCCTCCATTTTGTTTTTGGTAGCTGTGTCAGAATTCCCTGCTGACTCTTTCCTAAACTGCTCTGTCTCTGTAACACAAAGAGTCACACTGTCCTGGCTCTCCCACCCAGATAGCAGTTTTATAGGTCAATAGGTCATTTATTTTTTTCAACAGCAAAAAAGGGTATTTACAGAATTATTGTCTTATCCTGCTGGATAAAGAATAAAAAAAGGGTTATAGAAAAACAAAAGAGAATAAGGCAAGAAAAAGGGAGGTAGCCCTTAATCAGGCTTTTAGAAGGAGGAATTTAGTTGCTATCAGACAATCATCTTTAACAAAGACACATTCAGTCAATTCTGTGGTCTAAATGGGGGGGGTGTCACCCTTTCTGGCTGGGGGATCCCTTTTTCTTCTCAGTTGGGACCCCCAACTTAAAAACAAAATCAAACTGAAGACTAAATTTCTCAGAAATAATGATGCTATTCATTCTAAAATACAAACAGCTGGAGTGTAGGTCAGCAGATTCACTGGTCAGTGCAGGCAGGGCAGATCTGCTGTGTGAGTGTGTGGATTGTGTACTCTGCTGTACTGGATTTGGCGATGAGAAGTGTCTCTGTGTTGGGTGTTGGGCCCTGAAAATCCCTGGCCCAGTGTACTCCAGTCCAGTGATGCTGTTCATAACTCCTCAGTCTCTTTTCTTGGTACAACAGGATCATCTTCTTACAGGTTTTGTAGGGGTGTTTTGTTCCAGTCAGCAGCAGCCCCCTCACATTGTAATTATTTACAGTCTAGACTGTGAATTAAAACAGTGGTAACCAGTTGAAAAAAACAGACACAAATATTTTCAATAGAAAACTTAAAAAAAAATCTGACCTTGCCTTATTAGGAGGAAAAAAAAGATTATCTGAGGGATTTTAAATATTGTCTATTTTATATAATTTACAAGTATCCAGATTAGTCTTGTCACTTGGATGATTCAAGCTCCATCCTCATGGGAGGCATCAGTATGATGTCTAGCGTAGCTTCTGCAGCAATTGGCCCTGTTGGTCACTTCAGTCCTTTAGTTCTCCCATAGCAAGTTAGAAAGGGCTGTTCTGCCAGAGGTCCCATAGTAGGTCAATGAGGGCCTCTCTGCTCTGTTTTACCACATGCCTCACTGTAGGCCCTGCATTTATAATTACAGGCCTTAGGAACACACATTTGTACCTGTGGATTCACTGTTTTGACTAACAAACTCACTAACAAACACTCAAGCTTTGAAGATGGTGAGGATTCTGCAGTGCTGGACGATAGACTCTGTAGGCCTTCAAACAGAAACAGTGAGTGATCTACTGAGTCCTTCAAGCTTCAGTCAATTCCCTAAAGCTATTCCCTAAGATGCTGGCTCAGCAGTAATAATACAGACAATTCTGTAAAATGACCCCACTGAAAGCATTTAGTATGAAGAGCTCTACCTTTGTTTCAGAAAAGCCTTGGGTTATTGTAAATGTCTTTTGAAGAGAAGCACTCGGAAGCCTTCAGTCTCCGTTTTGTGTGGTGTGAAATATACAACAGTTCCTTTGTAAAAGAAGACAAACAGATATTGAAAAACAGGTATTTGCTCTCTTATCAGTGAATTAGTAAAAAACACTGCAAAAATATTTTACATAAAGCAACACAGGACAAAAAAAGAAATATGGGAACTGACATGAAGCATTAGTTTTTTAACGTGTTTCAGTAGGGTAGCTATTTTACCTTTACTAAAAGAGAGAAGTATAAACCAACTAGTTTGTCTTGTGTTATAGTTTTTTTTTTACAGAATTTGAAATAGTTTGTGACACCCTTGTTATTAAAACAATCATCCTTTTCGAGCAACAGCTCCCTCCCTGGCTCCTGCGCGCCCTATAGCAGCACATCATGGTTTGCAGGCTCCCAGTACAGGTCCAAACCATTATGTGCTGTTACTGGGAGCACTGGGACATCCACCATCCAGCAGTACCTGAGAAACAGCCGCTCCTTTTATTCCTATCATCTACTAGGCAGGAGAATGTCTTGTCTTGTACAGGATGTGGTGATGGTTTGTATTGAAATTATAAGAGTTTTTGTATTCAATTACCTAGCTAAATTTTACATTACAATTAAACATTACCTACATGTCATCATAACTGAAAAGTATGTAAGATTTCCCATTTATGAGTATAAATTAAAAAAAAGTTTACAAAAACCTGGGACTGTTCCCAAGTTCTGTCACTCATTCACATACACAAGGGTACATTCCTTAATAAAGAGTTAGGCCACATTAGGCTCAACTGTTGGAAAATGGTACCTAGTAATCTAACACTGACTGGCATTTATTGTATGAGCAAGAAGGTGCTTTTATTTGCCTCATAAATTGTGTAACTGAAACAGCACAAGAGAAAGCCAGGCTACAGTGCAACAAAGCAGCCATGTTTTAAACAATAATGTCTTTGTACCTCATTTGATAATATACCTAACACCTTTACGTTAGTACTGTACTGCAGTAGTGCTGGGGAAAGGAAGTACGTTTTCTCTTCTCTTGCTGTGTTTTGGTTACTGTGAAAAGTAGAAGAGGTTTCATCTTCAAAAAAAGAAGGCTCAAAAGCAGAAATAAAGACAAACCATTATTATGGTGTTCTTTTAGTGAAATATCTTAGATGCGTGACACTAGCTCCTGCCAAACTAATGTAATAGAATACTAAATTTTCTTTCGCTGAATTCCTGGTGCCTTAACTGCACTCAGTAGCCAGGTTAATTTTATATGTAATTACATACTCCTGATACATTTAACATATAGATGTATGGCTAAGATTAATCAGGATTAATCATGGCATACACAGTCCTTGATGGCACTGTTACGGTGGTGTCACTGGTTTTGTACTCAATAATCGATGGTGCCGTGTGCGTTACTATGTGGTCACACGTGTCGTCCAGCTCTGTCTGCCTGGCTGTAGCAGCACATCAATATTGGTAGCTGCCCTCAAACTGGGCTGCCAGTATAGCTTGTGCTGCTCCAGTGTGGCTGACACTGTCAACACACAGCTTAGACTTGACTGGGTCTACACTGGACATGCAGCTCATACACAGCTGGACGCAGTCAAAACAACTTCGGTGCTGCTGGACCTCCGGTGGGGAGACACCGATCAGATTTGCACAGACCTCAGCTGGACACGGCAGTATAAGGGAGTGGCAGAATGATCCCGGAAAGGCTCAGTGAATATGACTAGACTTAATGAAGATGTACTGAGGCTGGAAATCATTGTCACTTTATCATGGAAAAATAAACTTAATTTCAAATCTCTTTTGGCATACAGTTTTCTTTTCTTATTTTTTAAGTACTTTTTTTTGCAATCAGATCAAAATCCTCTTCAGTGATAGTTATACAACTTTGATTTATTATTGGATGTTGTCAGTGAGTTATGCTTTTAACTTTCACAGGTTAGAAAAGGGTTTAGTTTTCTAAAAAATAGGTAGTAATGAAACTACAAACTGTTTCATAACTTGAATTCAGTAGATTCTATCTAAAAAGACTAAAACAATTACAGATGGTCTTAAAATAGTGAATTCCATTGTAGATTTAGTCCCACAGTATCCACCTAAGAGATAACACAGCATTAAATTTCTATATGTATACAGAAAATGGTTATAATCAAACTTGGAAAATACCAAATATATCATGTAAAATGTTACCAAGGATGAGAAATTACACTAGTGTAAGAAGGTAGCCATAAACTATTTTAAAAAAGTTCAATTTATTTACATAGCAGGGGGCCTAACCGATATACACTAGCAGACACTTTGCATCAGCCTTCTTACTTCAGAAGTGCTGTGATCTTTTTGTGCAATTATAGAATTGACAAAGTATTTAGTGTATTTTAGTACACTTATTGCATATGTGCAATGTGTTCTGTAGCACAGAGGAGGGCCTTAAATATTACTTGAGCTTCCTGTTGATCCTGACACCCATGTTAGACATCAGCAAGCTTAGGCAGAAAGGACCAGAGCCACCTTCATATGCAAGGTAGACAAATGCAACTGCACTACATTACTGCATTTTGTCAGTAGCCACCATCTCGGCTTTTCAATATGTAATTACATTTATGTAACTAAATTGAGAATGAGTTGTCTAATAGCAGTATTCAAAGCACTTTGTGTTAAGCAAGAAGAGGCTTGCTTTTTCTCAACAAATAACCACAAACTATGAGAACAGAATTGGATTGTTTAAAATTACATTTACTACATTATTACATTGCACTGCTTTTAAAAACTTGGTTTTAATTACACGGTTGTACAAATGCATATGTGTTGATCACTATCAAACTATCTACAAGTTACACCAAAACAATTTATATCAACTTAATAAAGGAGAAAAATTGCAAAGGAAAAAAAAAAAGCCATCATCACACAACAGGGTAAAGTTTACAAACACAAGTTTCCACAAACTTGGTGTATTCACCAGAAAGTACAGCAATGCTGTATTCCACACTTAACCTTTGACCACTCAAGGTACAGTTAAGGAAATATGAAGCAATTGTCCTTTTTGGTGACAGGTAGGTAATCAGTGTGGATATCAACTGTATTCCATTGTCATGCTTCAGTCCAACCCTAATTATTAAAAAGGACCAACTGCTGCTAGGCCAATTATGAGAATTACAGCAACATTTACATCTGAGCCTTGGCATGGCCCAGAAGAACCAAGGTTACCCATCTTAGAATAATGATCAAGCAGCAGTTTCCACACGGGACAAGGAGACTGGAATTAACAGAACTGATTGGGTTGTTGTGTTCCATGATTTTTATTACTTGACAAAGCGCATTTGAAGAGTGGTGTCTGGCATTGCCTGGGGATTTTCTGCAACTTTAATGTTGCTTATATTGGCTTTGTTTCTCTATTATTGGCCTAAAAACAAAACTACAGACGCAACCTCAACAGAGGTGCAAGTAATCAAGAATATATGCTGTGCAACAAGTATTCACAGCAAATCTGTACCCATAAAATAGAAAATAAGTCAAACTGCCACTACATGCCATTTCAGAAGTAGGATAGTATTATGCACACTCTTGAAAGCTGCAAGAAGAACCAAACGCCCTTTCATTTCTCAATTACTGACCTGAAACAATAAAACCCAAGAACACTGCATGCTTTAAATTATTTTTCCTGTTGTAAATACACTAAATTCAACAATAAAACAAATCTAGCTACATATTCAGCGGAGAGAAATAATCCCCTATATTCATCAGAAGTGAATATTTCCAACAAGTCAGTCTTCTACTGAAAAGACTTTAGAAGCCAGTGTACAGGACAGCAGGAAATGTAAATTTGTATAGAGAAAAATAATTCACTTTGTAAAATTTTAAGCACAATGTTTTATTCAGTAGACCCAGAAATGTCTATCTGACATGATAGAAAAATATCCTTTAATAATTCCACTTGCTCCCGAAACCCAACTCATCGCTTAGGACCAGGTAATATCTGCAGTCGTGACAAATATCTAAAAAGCATATTAAAAAAAAATAAAAATTGAATTGAGATAGACTAAAAAACTAGTAATATTACACTTGGACCCTATACACCATGTGTGGTAAACACAATCCCTAAGAAACATAGTCCAGCAGGGTTCTTTGAGTCTTTAGAAACATTAGATGTAGGAGGGCCAATTTTATTTTAAATGGTATGTTATATCCACCCGGTTTTGATCATCACGACACCTGTCTGCCCCTTGTCTATTTGACACTCAAATTCCATCTCCACAGTGCTTTATGTGAGCAGTCTCTATCACTGTAAGCTCACAGAAGCAGGGAGTTGCATTTCAACTAAAACTCACCTAGCCTAGTGTCTTTTTTTTTTTTTAATTTGAGCAGAAATAGTTGAGAATTAGTCTGCTAACAGAGGAAAAACACAGGAGGTTTTTGAACCCTTTGTCATGAGACTGGCTCAGGTAAGTTAGGAGTGCTTCTGTCCGGTCAGGGAAAGATGTAGAATATTCAGGTTTTCACTCCAATTGAGCTCTTCCATTCTGAAGTCACTGATCCTCAAAAAACACACATAAACCCTGCTGGAGTCCGATGCACCCAGATGGGTGAGCCATCCCTGGAACTGCATCTGAAGATGAATCCTTTCGGCAATGAAGAGTCACCGTCCGACCTTGTCTCTTTTTTTCTAAAAAAAAAATGCTATTTAATAGCATTTTTTTCCTCCAGAGTGCACAAGATAGTCCAAAACGTAAGACAAAGCAATGATCTCGGCCACTCTGAATGAAGTAGGACAGCTTGGGATGGTTTCACCAACACCTCTCCCCTCCACCTGCAGCTGTCTTGTCTCTCCACCTTTCAGTCAAGTACAGGATGCCGAAAAAAACAAAACCAGGAGCTTTTCAAAGTTTTCATCATGATATTTGTCCCCACCCCCCCCCACCCCAACTATAATGATTCCATGATAAATGACAAACATTGCAAGGAAGCTTGGTATGCAGGTAGTAACTGTTCTGTATTTTTCCCCACTTTTTGAGATTTGAGAAAGTGATCCTTTTAAACAGCTAATGTGACTTGTCCCCATTGCCTCGGTGCTGTCCTTTTCCATGCCTGATGTTTTGACGTCTTACAGCGTGTCATTTCCTGCCTGGGTGAGGACTGGCCGGCCTCGTGGGGGAAGGGCATCAGCGCGAGAGGAGGGGCAGGTCGCTGGAGTTCATAATCAAACTGGAGTCCAAATTGAGGCTCTCTGATAAACACACAGCAGGCAAAGAAATGACAGAAAGAACAGACTAAAAAAAAACAACAGTGCAAATATATAGAAATGATTAGAGAATATAAACCACAGTAGCAGACAGCATATATGGACAGGGAATACAAAAACAGAAGGAGAGGTAGCAGGAAGAATGGTACAGTGCATAAAGGCATAGGCCCTGGTTCTCACCCTGGTCAAAGTTGAGCTTCTTAGTGGTGGAGCCCGTTTCCAGTCCCTCAATGTCCACAAGGTCACTGTTCACATCTGAGTCATTCAGTGCACTCAGAGTGACATCTGCCAGGACAGAGATAAACACTAAGCCACTGCTGACTGATAACAGTATATCGACGTGGTATTGACCAAGAGGAACAAACTAATTCTGCAGCTTAAGCAAAGCAACACTCAGTCCACAAAGTCTAAGCTACTGCCCTCTTTTAATAATAATAATTTGCTTCTCAAAGCACTTTACAGAATGACAACAGCAACAACAATTAAAAATAAACAATAAAAAATACACAAGATAAACATGATGAGAATACACAGAGGTGACAGTAGATGGTGGTACTAAACACAGTAGGAGCAGAGGAGTGAAGAATGGAACCAGTTAAGTAAAGGCTCTTCTAAAGAAGGTTTTGAGTCTGGATTTGAAGGAGTTTAGAGCAGGTGACTCTCTGATATCCTTGGGGAGAGAGTTCCAGAGCTGGAGAAGGCCCTGCCACCCATACAACGTAGACGGGCTTGGGGGACAGATAGGAGACCAGAATTAGAGGAGTGAAGGTTGCGAGGTGGGGAGTAGGGCGATAATAGAGCAGACAGGTACTGAGGTGCCAGGCCATGCAGAGTCTTGTAGGTGAGCACAAGGATTTTGAAGTCGACACGAAACTTGACAGGAAGCCAGTGCAAGGACTCCAGGATAGGAGTAATATAAACACTTGCACTAGACCTGGTCAGGGCTCTGGCTGCCGAATTTTTGACATACTGGAGTTTCTTCAATGTGGATTTAGATACCCCAGCGAGTAGAGCATTACAGTAGTCAATTCGGGAGAAGACAAACGTGTTGATCAGCTTTTCAGCTACAGATAGTGATAACATGGGGTGTAGTCTAGCGATGTTTCTGAGGTGAAAGAAAGATGTTTTGACTATATGCTGCACATGTGGGTCGAATGTTAAGCCTAAATCAAATATTACCCCAACGTTTTTAAATTAAGACTGAAGCTCAAGAACGGTACCATCCACAGACAGGGTTACAGGATTGGCTTTACGAAGTTGATAGGGGGTACCAATAAGCATGACTTCAGTCTTGTCACAGTTAAGATGAAGGAAATTTTGAGTCATCCAAGTTTTTATGTCAGAGAAGCAATTAGATAGCATAGAGAGAGCCACATCAGTGCCAGGTTTGGTATGGATGTATATTTGAGTATTATCAGCATAGAAATGACAGGTGAGGCCATGTGATCTTAAAAGCTGACCAAGTGGAAACATGTAAATGCTGAAAAGTAGGGGACCCAGTATCGCGCCCTGAGGAACACCAGACTTGATGAGACCAATTTCGGACCTAAATCCTCCAAGAGAGACAAAGTGACAGCAATCAGAGAGGCAAGACTTTATGGGGGCTTCCATATGCTTTGCCATCAACATCTGCATTAATAAACACATTCAGTAAATTAACTCATGCATTACATTTTAAACATCTAATAAAAGGCCCTCTTTTCTGGGATCGCTGTACTACCTGGTATTTTGAACTACCACATAGTCCAACCCTGAACGAGACAAGGTCAAGTACAGACCACCCCTGCCTTACTCACCTGCCGTCTTCTGCTTCTTGATGGCTGAGGGCGCGGGAGAGGGGTCCTGCAGGGCTGTCGTCACGACAACCTGCGAGGTTGGCACAGTGATGACAGCTGGGGTCGTCGCCACGGAGACCTGGGTTTTCTTGGGCGTCTTCTTGGGAGATTCAGAGGAGAGGGGAACCCCGCTGTCCTCGTACAGCTTCCTCTTTACGGTCGTCTTGATTTGAGCACTGCTTCGGGGAGGGACAGATGCAGTTAAAGATGGAATACAGACCTACAATTACAGCATTAGACTTTTTTAGCCTGGAGGTTACGGTTCAGACTTTGCCTTAAGAGAGTCAAAGGGCTGATGAAACCGTCCAGCCATTGCCAATCAGTCACCTAAGATGACTAGTCTCCGCTCAGCTAAAGCAAGTGAACAATATTTTTAAGAACCAGAAGTGGATATTAGCGGATCATATTGACCTCTTCTTGTTTACCCTCTAAAAAAATCACACAAAAACACAGTTCCATATCTAACAAAAGGCATGGACTTCTGCATCTGACCTGACAATAAAAAAGCAAAAGTTACATATGAAAGTCTTATACAAATTAAAGATAATACCAATAAAAGTTTGGGATTTTAATAGGCCACATGTTCTGATTTATGTGCTCACAGAATTGCACTCTTGAGTGAAGCAGCAGATAGAAAGATGTCAAATTCACAAGTCTGTTGATCCCAACACCACGACTCAAAATGGGAGTGAAAATAAAGGAAAGCAAAAAGCTGGAGTCGGATTCAGCCCGAGTAGTTGCGAGATGCAGAGATGTTTTCCAGCTGCAGACTTGGGGCGCCCCCTGCAGGACAGGCCTGTTGGTGCAACCCGCAATCCAGCATTTGCTTTCCATTCTACACAATTCTGTGAAGTCTTAAAGTAATCAAATTAATTCTTACGGGATCTAGGAAATGGAATTAAACCTCCCATAGAGTCTCTGAGAAGGGTAAAGAGGGGAAAACGAAGGAAGAGGCTGCAGTCACTGCAGGCTGCAGCTGTTGATGCAGGTTCCCTTTTTCTTCTTCAACCTCTGATCTTAAGTGTCAAAAGGAATGGATTATTTGTACAGGAGGTCAGGTCAGCAGAGTTTTAGATCTTAATTGGCTCAACCAACTCAACTTGCTTATATTTCACAAGCAACAGTGTCTAAGGTGATCTAAGTGTGGGACTCCCAGGGGAAAGACACCATTAGAACAGGGCAACAGTGAGCAGATTCACACTCCGGGACTGTGAAATCTCCGCGACAATTCAAAGCGCAAGGCAAAATAAGAAAGCACCTGCAGATCGCCTGACTTCCTGTTTCATACTGGGGAAAGAACAGACAGTTTTCATAAAAAGCTGTCCACCAGGAATTCCACAGAGCACGATACCATAATCGTGCTGCTGTGCACAGACCAATCTGGATGTAAACAACTGCAGGGCGAGAAGTGCAAAGAGCACAGGCAATGGACTACCAAGCAGTGGAGAAATACGATATGGACAGACGACTCATCCTTCTCCACATTCTTGACACCCATGAGCGCACATAGCCCCATCCTAAGGACTCTACAGCCGAATGCTTGATGAGCCTTTTCCTGGAATGGCTTGGGTTCACTCATTCCGTTAGAAGGCTAGGTCAATTCACATCAGAGTTTAATGGTATTAAGTAATCATCTTCACCCCGTGTTGCAGCATTTCTTTCCTGCAATGAGGGCTGGTCTCCAGGATAAAAATGGAACCCCATCCATGAAGCACATGTGGCCGCCCAGTGGTTTGTTGAGCATGACACTGATTTTATTCAGATCTCATGCCCCTTTTCAGTCATCAGCTCTGAATCCAATTCAAACATTTATAGCATATTCTGCAACGATGCCTGAGAAAGCAGTTTCTATCTCCATCAACCAGGCGCGAGTTGACAGACACTCTCGTGAAAATTGGTACCACATGCTTCGGCAGAATTCCAGACACTGGCAGACATCGCTGCCACATGTGATGGGTCAACAACCGATTGGCCTAAGATTGACATGACATTATTTTTTCCACTATCTGTACCTCTAAAACCTGAAGGAATGCGGTTGACAGAAATCGAAAATTATTACAAGAAAGAAAAAGAGTGCAGCGGTCCCTAATATTGAAGTTAACTCCTGGCTCTTTAAGTTTACACCAGGTTTACACCATTGTAAAATTCATCCTAATACATGCAAGAAAATTCACAAACAAAATACCAAAGTGTCAGTAGCATAAGTATGCAGAGCTCAATAAATCTGGTCATGAATTGCCTGGGACTATTTATAAACAGAGCTATCCACAGCAACAGCACAGCCTTCACACACTGGACACCCCCAGAGGAAACAGCGCGTTTTCTCTTGAGCCTGACCAGAGTTCAGCGCAGGACACGGCCAACTTATCCAGAAAGGGGGAGTGAGCGCTCGGCCTGGTATAAGCATATTTGCATCACTAATGTCGGACACGAACCACTCTGGTCTGCAACCTCTCAAAAGCAGCATGCGTCATTTCTCAACTGTTTTGATTTAACCCGAGACCAATTTCAACGGGAATAAGAAAAAGCCATGCTTTGAAAACAGGAGTATTAGACCTCACAATTCCGTCACAGCATATATTGAATTAGCAACATCTGTATCCCAATTCACCCGCGCCCTGGAGTGGGTCTAAGCCGAGTCGGGGGAGGTGGGAAGGATGCAAGGGTGGGCTGGACAGGTCTTGGGGATGGTCCTTACACAGTGCGGTCCTTGATGACAGAGCTGATTTTGTTCAAGTCGTCCCCAAACCGCCGCACGGCTGCACGCAGCATGTCAATCTCCGTGTCCGTCCACTTGGCTCTGCAGAGACAGACAGCACACACAGGGGCAATGGCACGCCAGCTCGCACTGTCCCCGCCTCGCCGCGTGCTGCCCTGTCACGCCTCGCCTCCCCCTCGACACACGCTCACGCACGCACACGCACACGCAGGGCGTCACCCTGCAAAGAGGATGTGATCTCCAGCTTTTTGGATTTCGGCCGAACGTCATGAATTATTGAAAGTGGATAATAAAAGCGTCTTTAACCCAGAACACCTCCACCAACTGTTTCTGAAAAAGCGGCCACGGGCACCCGTTGTTGTGAAAGGCGAACTGGACGGCCAATCTCTCGTTGGCATCGGTTACTCACACGGGGGCAGGCTATGCCGGATGATTCTGGTCAAAAGTTGAAAATCCCTTCAACTTCCTTAAGTATCTCCACACCAGTTGTTTCGGTATACAACCCCCTTCCTCATCTGCCCACCACCTGTTGGTTTGTTTGTTTGTTTGTTTGTTTTGAAACAAAACAGAATCCCTTGCAGGCTTTCGTTTTCTGCACAGATGCCTTACTATGGGGCAGCCCCTCTCGCTGGGTTTTCCGACGAGCTCTAATGAAGACAGTGGAATGAGGGGGGGCCTTCACGCACCTCGGCTCGGCTCGGCACACCCCACACCCACCGATTATGCTGGGCTGAAGATCTATTGCCCTTCCAAGACATACCAGCAGCTGAGCAGAAAGCTCACAGCCCAGCACGCACAGACCCATCCATTAGAGGTTAAAAGGGATTTGCATGGGGGGGAGGGCACATGTGAGCCCCGCAGGGGGAAATAACTGGCACAACACATGGCTTAAAGCCACCACAGCGAGCAGGAAGAGCTCACCGTCGGCGATGAAGGAAGGGGGGGAGCCTTCAAAACAGCTGGACACGGCAGAATGATTCCGTCAGACTCAAGAGAAAACCACTTATGAGGAGAGTTCAGTGTGTGGCAGCTCGTCACTTAACGGTCTTAAAGTGGACTGGGGATGCACAGAAAGCAGCCTGCAACTACACACGCATTCCAGAGATGGACACCCTCAGCTCCCAAGGGCGGCTGGTTTTCATTACACCTTTGGTCATAACTTAAGCGAGCTAAATGGATAATTAGTCAGCTGAGCTGTTTTCTTAAGTCCTAACCACATGCTAAGTGAATACTACCTATAAACTCCGCAGGACTCCAAGCTCTGGTGAACTGGAGCGGCCCACACTGCCTTATATGGTCAATCTGAAGGAGAGCTGGGGAATGAAGCAGATCATTTACCCACACGAGCCGAGCTCTGGAGCGGACACTGGAAGACAGGGCGGCGGCAGCAGCATCCTCGGTACAGGATGGGGAGGCCGAGGCCGGAGTCAGCCCTGTGTACAATGGCGTCATGGCGACTCACCCAGCCGGACTGGAGTCAGCCACCGGGTGCAGCTGCATAGTCAACTCCCCCAGTTTGGTGAAGGCAGCACCTGCTGCGGAGAAGATCTCCCCCACCTGCAAAAGACGGACCATCAGGCACACAGAAAGGCAGTGCAAATTCTTCCACCGGCAGGTGCCCCAAACCGGACTGACCCGTGAAGCCAACAGCTCCCTCTGAACTTTGACACCTTCAGGTTCATTAGGAAGCACCGGTCTGTGCAAGCCACCCAAAACTGATGGGAACGTCCAGCTTATTACAGAGTTAGACGAGCCTTATTACAGAGTTAGACAATTGGTTTCCAACCCTTTCCACACATTTGTTAAAAAAAAGAGGAAAAAAATATTTCAAGCTACTACATCATTGGAATGACAAGAGAAGCAGAGCCGAGGGCTGTCCAACTGGACGAGGCATGTCCAGTTATCAGAGAAAGCCACCCTAGGAGTTAACAGCATCACCAGCAACAACCTCGAGAGATCTTTACAGCCCGTTCAGCCTTCATATACAGTGAAACACGAAAAATGCATTCAGCTAGTGAACCAGGCAGCCGTTGTTTCCCGCGTGATTTTTCAACTTGGAGTCTGGAGTTAACTGCTTTGGGAAAACGAACCTATGTTGTACAAAAAAAAAAATAGAATATTTAAAATATATATCTTCAGGGGTACTAGAGCACCTTGGGTTCGGCTGTCAAAACCGCACTGGGCTCATCTTGAAGCTATAAAGAACCGTCCAGCTCATCGCAGCCTCGACACCTCGTCAAGGTACAATAAAGGAAGAAAGGACGAGGAGGGAGAGGGAAGGACGAGGTGCCACGATCCACCAGCGACACCGCGCGGCCGACACCGGGAACTGCGCATCTCTCCTCCGAGCAACAACTGAAGTTCGCCAACTTCTCACCGAACCCCGCGTGTAAATACCCCAGACGTGCATCAGAACCTCAAAGAAGAAACCGGGTGGGGACCTGTTTTCGGGTTTTAAAAGGAGTGCGACATCACCTGAACAGCCATTCAAAGTACAGAACCGAAGTAACCGACAGGGTCATGTTGATAAAAAGTATCGTTTTTCTCCAGCCGCTTACTCCCGACTCGTTTGAAGACGATTACAACAACGCCGTGATACATTACTCTATTTAGCAGCGCGGAGCTGTGGTTATAGGACCCTAGACTCCTGATGGGAAGACAGAGTTTAAATCCAAGGCGCTGGACTTCTCTTCTATCACTGTACAAGCTACGTAACCCGTATTTCATCAGTAAAATGCCAACTGAATTAGAATAAGGCTCGGCATAAGTTAAAAAAGTATTTACCAATGCCTCGAGATTCACCCTAAAGAGATTCTGATAACACATCACAATTTTTCGTTTTCGGCTAAATAAACTGTGCTTTTGAGACGTTCCGTTAAAGAAAGCGCGCTTTGAAAAGAATACCCCTGAAGGAAACGGGCAATAGAAGGTGGTATGTTCTCAGAGCACCTACCTTGGTCGACGCTGAAGTCATTTTTTCCCACCGAATACTTGGAAAGGACAAATAAAAACACTCCGGGGTCTGCAGAGGGTCTAAATCATCTAACTGCGGTGGCACATGCTGGGAGCCCTCCAATGCAAAACACAATCAAACAGATACTACATTGACTAAGCTTAGAAGCAAAATACACTCTGCCAGTGTAACTTCAGAACGATGTTGCTGTTGCTTTCTTTTCTGAGATTAAAAACGTTGTGCTTTACAAATGCAAGTGCACTGTATTTCCCCCCCCGTACTGCATGTCAAAGCACAAATTAAACACTTTATTTTCTACAACGTGGACGTTACAGGAAAGAACTGGCATGAAAGTCGCATCGCGCTTCAGGTTAAACTATATTCTGTGTCCATTCAGTACAAAACAATACCCAGGCCTCCTTCACTCCTATCATTATGACAGACGTACAGACCTCGGAAACCTGTATAACGCTCCCCCGGGGGTGAAAACAACCATTTTGATCATGCCAACGAAAAAAGCGGACTTCCTAGCCCATCCAGTGAGCCCATTTCGGCCAATTTTGCTCAAATTAAAATAAAAAGACAGCAACTAGAGCGCGAGCAGGAAACCCCAGCCACCCGCGCGGCTTGCGCGTCTATTGGTCCACAACCGCGGTTCTCGGCTGCTGATTGGCCAAGGCTGCGTGACACTCATTCTGCGGAGTCCCGCCCCGCCCTTACTCTATTAGACACAGGCTTCGTCAGTCAAGACGCATTTTAACTGCATTAGAGAGCAGCGGCTTCAGACTGTTATAAGTGGTTGTTAGAATTTCTCCCAGCCTGATCCGTGATTTGTCCATTTTTCGCATATTGATGGTCAATAAGTCAATCACGGTATCCATTTTACCGTTCTGTGTTTTTGGGCGCGATTGTGTGTGCATTTAAATTGTTGTCAATCACCATGTCGTAATGCATTATTCGTGTTGGCACAATCTTATACTTACTTTACAAATAGTGTAAATAATAAATGTTTTTATAATACTTTTTGAAGTTTCGTAACATTAATAATATTTTATGTTTTGGGAATACTTGTTCTAAACCACTGACGCCCTATTAGCGCTGTGTCTAAAAGTATACGTAAGGTGATGATGGGCAAGCCCCTGTGCTTTGTAGCAGGATTGTATTTACTATCTGTCTTTGTAAAAAAAACTATTTTAGGAACACGCACGTTCGTACTTGTTTCAGCCATTTTGCGCCAGTTCTCGGAGTCGGCCTCCTGACGTCACAGCCCCCTCCCCCCAGGCTGGTGACGGATTTTGCCGTCACATGACCGCTCCGGGCTGTGCCATATTCAGAAAAATAGGAGGGGGAAGTAGGAGGATTTCAGTCCTCCAAGTGTAAAATAATCCTATCTATTTTGAAAATAGTTAATATAGCATTAATATGTAGTTTTTAAACCTGTTATGTATTAGCTCCCTTTTCATCAAGGAAACTGTTTGCATAATATGTGTTATAGTGACCCTATGCTTCATAAATTGACACGTCTAATTTGGAGCCTTCTAAGAGGAGGGAAGTATCTTTATGGTCCCGTAAAGAAAGGTATCCACTATAATACCTAACATTTGAGTAAGTTTGGAAAAAGCTGCAGCCTAATAATTATAATATTTATTTCCTCATCTCTCCATAAAGACTATGTTCCTGAGGGGTTCTCGAAGAATATTTCTTACCTTTATACCCCTCTTTTCAGACAGTGGTAGCTGTCCTGCCGGTGGGAGCCGAGTGTCTCCGGAAACGGCCGAATACCCCGTGCAGATCAGCTGAGAGGAGGTCACAGCGGTCCGTCTGTTTTTATTCAGACGGGCGACTGTCTTTCGACAGAAGGCAGTTTGAAAGTATAGCCGATGAAAAGCGGATTCCGGACTTGAAGGGAGTATAAAAGAGCGCAAAATAAACAAATAAGAAGCGGACATCTGTCTCTTCACTAAGGCAATGGCGTCCCTTTTATTTTGCGGTCCCAAACTGGCCGCCTGCGGAATAGTACTCAGCATCTGGGGAGTCATTATGCTGGTAAAATTACATTTTTTTATTATTATTATTATTATTCATAGTAGAGAAAATGCTGTTTATACTTCGGTTTCTGTACGCCTGTCTCCTAGCTGCTCTGACAGATGTGATATATAAACGTTTTGTATTCGTTTCGTTTCGTGAATTGCACAGTAATTAACACTTCCCTTTGGGAAATCCAGAAGCCATCGAAGGTCGTGAGCTCCGCGGAGGTTATCCTTACCAATACGTGTTTCAGTATTCAGCATCATTTAGCTACGATTAAGACGCGACAGGGAGCGGTGACGTACAGTACGCTAGCTAATTGCATGGCACTTGAATCAATCGCAATTGTTCAAGTCATTTCTTTATCCCGTCGTCTGTTACTTCTAGTCCCACCGGTGTTAGGGACAGGGTCACGGGTTCAGTGACACCACGATCTTGTGATAGTGACTGCGAGATGAGCAGCTTCTGAAACATCCATCTGTGTCTGTCTGCCTGTTTCTGTGGGGTTTTTTTTTTATCGTTTTGCACGTTGTTACATAAAACCTTTGCACAAAGATAAACGGCCGGGTGAATGTGTTACGGAGACCGTGGAGTCCAGTTTCAAGTTCCCTCTTTCTGGCTTGGGAGCTGTGGCACGGTCTCCAGTGGGGAGGAAGAAGTGTTTCAGAAAGGCGTCCCAGAGGACCTAATTATAGTGTGAACACTCACAGGCCTCAGTACTTTTCATCTCTCTCAGAGTACTTAGAAGTATTTCAGTCCGTACACAGATGTCTTTAATTGATCAATGCTAATTTGGAAGATAGTGTCTGTTTGCACAGTTATCTGGAGATGATAAGGAGTGTGGAGCTTGAGGGCGGCCGTTTTGGTGCTGCATGTTGTCGGTATCATTGCCCAAAGCAGCTCGCTGAAGTTTTTCATTTTTTTATTCTCCGCTCACAAATTAAACTGATTGACTAGCGCTCCGCACTGACAAGACGATGACCGGCTACACCTTTAACTCAGCCTGGTGACAACCACGTAAAGTGGAGAAGCACCAAGTCAGTGTGTGATGTCTGTATGGCCACATGTCATTTTTTCAAGGATTAATAATAATAATAATAATAATTGCTTACACTTATATAGCGCTTTTCTGGACACTCCACTCAAAGCGCTTTACAGGTAATGGGGACTCCCTTCCACCACCACCAATCTGCAGCCCCACCTGGATGATGCGACGGCAGCCATAGTGCGCCAGAACGCTCCCCACACATCAGCTCTCAGTGGGGAGGAGAACAGAGTAATGAAACCAATTCATGGATTGAACCAGTGTGTAGAATCAAGGACCTGTTTTCTCAGTGTCAGCTGCCTGCAGGAGGATACAGGTAGCTGAGACTTGCAGTGTTAGGAAGTCACTAGGCGGGCAGTGTTGTGTGTTTTGTACACACTGGGCAGCTGTTTGCAGTGTTTTGTATTGTGTACCTGTTTCCAGATATAGGCGGATCAAACCAGTGCGTTTAACCTCTGTCTTGCTTTCGTCCTCCTCCACACCAGTTGCTGCTGGGTATCTTCTTCAACGTCCACTCTGCAGTGCTGATTGAAGACGTGCCCTTCACTGAAGATGACATGCTTCTAGAGTGAGTGGATTAATATGATGAGCTAGCCCGTCCCAAATACCCTGTTATACAATTGCATCATCTGTTAGACAGTTGAAGGAAGCAGTAGCCTTGTAGCCTGCTCTCATTAAACTGAGCTGTTAAGCACAATACCCAATAATGGGAGACACTACAGACGGTTTGCTGCTGTAAGTGTAATTGCTGGACCAGTAGGTGGCGCTTTTTTCTGTGGCTCAGTAGGATAACCTAGTGTGGTGGAGATGCTGACCTTTAGATGAGACATTAAATGCGGGATCTGTCCGCTTGGTAATTAAAGAGCCCTTGGCACTGTTGGAAAGAGAAGAGGAGTTAACCTCCTGTGTCCTGGCAAAACATCACTCTGGTTTTGCACGTTTTGAAACAAAGATACAGTCCAGCATTGAGGTGATGGGGTCAGATTGGACTTGTGGTGATGGATTCCTGAAAACGTCCTGGAAAGCTGTGAGATCTACCATCAAGGCATTTGAGATGCTTCGAGTTGCATACAGTAAGGTCATAAAGTTGCAGACAAGGAGCTCCCGTCGGTTCACTCTGCTTAGGAGCTTGCTAAGGTAGCTAATTGGTCTGGGGATCTTGTTTAGCCATTTCTGAAAGGACTTAGGAGTTCTGCACCCGTAACACAACTTGGCAGCCTGTTCCCCACACCCACCACCCTTTGTGTGAAGTGGTCATTCCTGTGATCTCTCCCCGCATCGCTCTTTCTTACCTGCTTTGTCTCTGTTCCCATGCAGTAAAAATCCTCCTCAGAAGATATACGGGCTGTATGACCAGGTCAGCTACAACTGCTTCATCGCTGCTGCCATCTACCTGCTGGTGGGGGGTCTGTCCTTCTGCCAAGTGCAGCTCAACAAGCGCAAGGAGTACATGGTGCACTAGACTGCCTCCTGCTGGCCTGGCCCAGCACTGCACCGAGGGGCGGTTTTACTGCAGGGGCTCGTGGAGGGTCTATTGTCTTCTCTTTTTGTTTTTCCAATGAACCAAATTAGTCTCTTAGACTAATACAGGATTGTTTGTAAGTCTTTGACTCAAAAGTCAAGTAAAGGCAACCTTACAGTCCAGGTCATTACAGTGATTCTGTGTGACCAAAACATTAATTGCTTAATTGGACTTTAATCACATTTTGGACTCCGCTACTGGGCCTTTTGTTTTTCTTTCCCAAATCCAAATCCAAATAGTTGTATTATTAAAAGATCTCTGTGACAACCTCTAGGACTGTATTTATTAACCGATGGATTATTATTCCTGTTTTGTTATTATGGCTTTGTATGGGATAACACTGTCACAATTCAGCTTGGTCTGTGAGCCCCCCTCTTTTCGTCGGTGATGTGCTGATGTTGGGTGGCAGTAAAGTGCAGTCGTCTTTCTTTTTTTTGGGTGTAAAAGATTTTATAGTCCGTGTTATTTCTGTGGCTGTGCCAACAGTCTTAAAGCAGGGAGATGGGAAGAGCCAGATACTATAGAAACCTCCCTGATTACAAGACTGCTGCATCTGTGCACAGCCAATCCACACATCCACATGAAACCCTGCCTGCGTGTTGTAACATATTCTAGAAAAAAAAGACTGTATTGTTCATTTGAGTTGAGAGCACTGTAAGTCCAGTAGAAATGAGAATGTATATTTCTTGTCATTGTTTATTCATTCCAGGTGTATAAAATTGATGGTTGAGAATACTTGGTGCTGTGCAGTGCTGGACTGGACTGTTTTCTTTGGCTCCTGGTTCTGTTGATGAAATTCTGTTTGTTTGTTCCCCCTATGCCCTGTCTGTTTGCTGTTGGACCCGAGTCCAGCTCAGTCCTGTGTGAGCTGCAAATAAAGCTTCCCATGAAGGTGTAAGTCCTCTGAGTGCATCCTCTGTGAGTGTGGGAGCTTCGTGTTAACAGCAGATCTGTCCATCTAGCTGTATGTCCGGTATATTGATCTGCTTATCCTTGCTACCTGTGCATCTAACTTACTGTCCAATTAGCTATAATAATTTTATGCTCTGTCCTCTGTTTATCTGTTTGTCATTTTATCCATTTCATGTGCTGTATATCTATCAGTCTATCTTCTGTCACCCTTTGACCTTCTTACCTACCAGTGCACACAGCAGCTACAACAGATACAGATACAACAGAAGCAGGAGAAAGTGTTCATCCATCCAACTACAAGACGTATAGTTTGCAAGCTGTTCTCTCCTGCTCCAAAAACATGGCACCGCCAGCAGACACACAAATCATTAATTTTAATGTAATTTATTTTTAAAGCTAATCCACTGTGGTGGTGGGCACAACTTTCAGTAGTATAATGAAGCCTTTTAATGTTAATACAGCCCAGGAAAAATACTCTACTCCAAAGAAACAGTCCGCTGAAAACACAGGGATTTGGACAGTGTCATTCTTGTAGCAGAGGAAAACTTGTGCAAAGCACTGATGGCAAGTGTTTGCACAGGTTTGGTTGCCGAAGGTGAGTGTGTACACTACCTGTGACCCCAGGTTTTGCGACAGAGGGACTGTGCTGTTAGGAGTAAGAACTGTTCTGAAAAGGTGTTGTGTACAGGATTTGTCTCCCGTCCGTCCTGTTTAACATGCAGTGCTTGACGCTGATAGCCGCGTATCAAATTGTGTACTTTCCAAATGCCCCTTCCTAAAATAGAACCATGACATTAACGGTTTTATTGTGTTCCATGCGGGAGTTTGTGCCAAAGCAATCTGTGATCTGAGGAATGAACAGAACATCAGGTGGGGCTGATGTTTTCTGCGAGTTCCTTTGAGTAAAAGCGTCTTTAGATACATCAGGACTGATCCGAGTGGCTTCTAGACTCTTGACACCCCTTCTCTAACCTGACCTCCCCTCTGTTTCATTCTGCATGCCCTCTGCTTCTTCATTTTCTCCCATTGCTCATTCATCTACTTCTTATTAGTCCTATCTGTTTTCCATCTTCTAATGGGTTATTTATTTTACTCCACTGGTTCATGGATCCATCTCTCCCTCTGTCCCACCCTTTTCTAACTCGTCTCTACTTTTTCCCCTCTTCGATAGCGATTTGCATTCTTGAACAAAATATTTGACTCAAGCATTTAAATAACACTTAACCGATCAGCACAGACAACCCTCCCCCAGTAAAACATTTACAGCAAAGAAACAACCAACATTAAATTTCCCCCTTACCTTCATGTTTGTATATTACTTTGCAATGGACGATATACATACTCTTAAAACATACTCAAACGAGGAATCATGAAATACTCTTTAACACACATAACAAAAAAAAAGGAATGTAGAAATACAAAGTTATTTGTTTAAAAAAAAAATAGGTTGTGGAGAACCAGATGCTAACAGCCCAGGTTTCAGATTTGAAAAATTAAGAATTTGGTTTTGCAAATACAGAATAATAGTGAATGAATGCTGAAATATTTGTTGACACTGCAGAAATATGTTTAAGCATAGGCAGGGGTAGAATAGCCCACTCAAAATGCATTCACTAAAAGTAGATTATGATTCACAGTTTTCTTACTGCATAACACACTTCTTACCATGGTCTGTGTATAGGATTTAAAAGATTTCCACTTCTCAGCCTGTCTCAAGACATGACCTGGATTATTGCTGGATAATAATTATTGCTAATGCTCATCGTGTGCAGCATTAGTTTGGGAGAGTGTGTCCCTGTTTCTGTAGGATTACAGACAGATCTCCCAGCAGCACGCATGTCTTCTCACTGCAGAAGGAAAGGAGGGTGGAAAGTCTGAAATTGGTGAGGCTTCAATCAGAAACCTGGACAAACCAGTCAGTTTGTCTCCTCCATCCTTCCCTCCCTCCCTCTAGATGGTGATGCTGTTCTCGATCTTGCTGGGGCACAGGTACAGGTATTTGAGCTCCAGCCCCTCGTTCCGTTGGATGATCTTGTTCTCGATGTTGACCAGCTCCTGCCGGAACTGTTCGATGACCTTCAGGGCCTTGGGCTCGATGAAGTGCTGCTCGGTGTACTGGCCCAGAGGGATCTGGACACAGAGGTGGTCAGTGGAGGGGGAGGAGAGAGGACAACAGAGTCAAACAACAGGATGGCAAGTGGGGTACCTCCCTGTCCAGGCACAGAAACAGCACAGTGCAAAACACACAGCAGACAGGCCTGTCTCACTGCTAGGTAATCCTTTGCCAGACAAACAAAAAAATCTGAAAATTGCCTGCAGTCCAATGTTTTTGAAAATTCACTCAAAGCTCAACTCCAGACACCAAAAGTGCTCCCAATACTACAAATGTGTGACAGTCCTGCATGACATACAGTATATTCATAGTACTTAGAAAGTTGTTTGCACCATTCAAAGAACTAGAAAGGTATACACCATGGCTCAATGGCATTTGGTGTGTTTGTACATGTGGTCGGGGGAACTTGCAGACTGTCTCCTTGGCCACAAGGGGGAGCTGATGTCAGCAGTATCCACCCAGAGTGATGCATACAGCACATGCTGTCGCAGCGGGATGGCTGAGCTGATATAGCACAACTATTGCAATATCTACTATGTGAATGTACTGCAGCACACTGCAAGTGAATAAAAAAAAAAGTAGCTTTATCAAGATAATCCTTGAAGCAATGCACATTCTCGCATCACATTCCAGACAAACCTTGTCACTCTTCTCATGTTCATTTCTTTAGTGCCTGTCTTTGAACAGAGCTTAATCTCCAGCCATTTTGCACATGAGCTGCAGACAGGTAGATTGGTAACTGGAGTTTAATGGCAAAGTTCTGGACGCTGATATCAAAAGAGTCTTTGGGCTTTCCACTGAGCAAGACCAGAATACAACCAGCCCGGGGTTACAGTTCAGGAGGTTACATATGGATGTATTTGTTAAAAGAGATTAACGGCATTGCAGGTAAGCCAGTTTCAAGCCCATAGTGTGTGTGTGGGCAGCTGACTGACAGGAGGCGGTGAACTTGCAAGGCTAGGACTCAGACACAAGGACAGACTCACCGCATTGGGCTGGGCTCGTCCCAGATGCCATGTGATCGCCATCTCCACACATGATTGGCTGATGTCGGGCAAGGTGTCCATGATCATCTCCATGGTAACGGAGTCCTTGCTGGTGGGTGGTGGCCGGCGCATGGTGCACGGGGTGTTGGGAACCCAGGCACACCAATCAAACTGCCGGGCATGGACACAGACAGACAGAGGTGCCTGTTCATCACACTGATATTTAACAGATGCTCTCTCAGCCTTTGTGTTGGATGTGCAGCAAAAAAAAATAAATAAAAAAAAATCAAGGTGTGTTGGCTAGTCCTTTGCATAATTTTGGAATCCTCAATCAGATCTGTGCAAAGCTTTCTGTATTTAGACATCTTGGGTGGCAATAGCTCCTGTATTGGAAATGTAGTTTGTTATGGCTCATATATCCAGCAGCCGTATCACCCTGCAGCTCACAACTGCCAGCCCACTGAAACTCACCAGGTGTGGCCTGGCCAGTACCTGGATGGGAGACCTCCTGGGAAAGCTAAGGTTGCTGCTGGAAGAACTGTGAGTGGGACCAGTAGGGGGCGTTCACCCTGAGGTCTGTGTGGGTCCTCATGCCCCATTATAGTGACAGGGACACTCTACTGTAAGAAAACAAAAGTGTCCTCCTTCGAATGAGACATAAATCCGACATCCTCATATTCTGTGATCATTAAAAATCCCAGGGTGTTTCTCAAATAGAGTAGGGGTGTTACCCTGGTGTCCTGGCCAAATTTCCCCATGACCTAATAATCTCTGAACTGGCTTCATCACTCTGCTCTCCTCCCCACTGAGAGTTGGTGTGTTGGGAGAGTACTGGTGCACTCTGGCTGTAGTCAGGTCATCCAGGTGAGGCTGCACACTGGTGGTGGTAGTGGGATTCCCCATTACCTGTAAAGCGCTTTGAGTGGAGTGTCAAGAAAAGCACTATGTACTGTAAGTGTCAAGAATGGTTATTGTATAAATGGGGATGTTTCTTGTGGCAGCTGTGTTACCTGTCCATTGTTGGTTGCTGCGTGCTGTGCAGAGCAGGTGAAGAGCACCACAGCAAGCAGAGTAATCAGCTCCTTTCTGGTCTTTAGCTCACTGGCCAGACCTGCAGTTCCAGGAGAGAGACACTAAGTCAGCCCTGTGCCTTCTGCCTCTTCCCCTGCCCCCCTGCCCTCTGACCTGTGCAGGGAAGCTGTACATATCTGTGTAAACAGCTGTAAGGCCTCGGAAAGTGTTCCACCTGTAGCGGCAATGCTTGTTAATAAGGCAGAATTAAGTGTTGCTGTGCTTTCCCAAATGAGGCCCCATCTCTCTATTCATGCAGGCTGATTTAAAGATGTTTTCTTTTGATAAGGGACAGCTCCCAAAGGGGGATGCACTTAGCTAAGCCTGGCTATCATGATCAATGGTCATCCATTGGCGCCTATCTGTCTAGGGAGTGCCAGATGGACAT